ACCTAGCCACAAGCCTACTCACACCAATATCGTCAAGGAGAGAAGAGAAGGAGAAATAGGTAGTTTGGAAAGATGTTTCTATTGTTTACAGATGTGCTGAGATCAGGCTGAACATAATAATATCTAATTTTTCCGCCCATTTTATATTTAGGTCCCTCATTTCTCTTATATCTTCTACTTACATTTATGAAAGCTTTGAAATGTACAGGATGATTTTCTGACTGAATATGAACCTCTGGCCAAGTGGATACTTGCATTCTTCCAGTAATTCAGCTGGGTCCTTCAATCACATATTACCTTTGTCCACAATGGAAACCTCTTGAGATTCACAGGACTCTTGAGCTAAACATTACTCATCTTTTTATTTTTTCTACCCCAGGAGACCCAGGCGAACCACCTGAAGGTAAGTAATATGTCTATCTGTAAACACTCCTTTCTTTGCCCGTTCCTTGAGGACCGTAGACCTTGTCTCTCATTTGAAACCATTTGGCACATCCACGCTTAAAGTTCAGTACCAAGAAAGAGAGTGTAGTAATGAACTAAGAGGGTCGTCAGCTTAAAAGGCTTTGTTTTCTCTTGCCATTGCATAGCTCTCATTTTTCCACCAGAGAATTCCCAGATCAAAAATCCAAAATTATTTTGTCATCTTTTCCTATAGCAAAGCTTGCTTTTTTACATTGGCTAATATCCTAGATCTAAGATTTCAAGATCACTTTGTAATATTTCATGCAATGTTCTCTTTATGTCTCTGCAGTGTTCTCATTTCTCTCTCTCTCTGTCTTTGTCTCTGTTTTACCCGGTCCTTCTCTGTCTGGTCTTTCTCTGAATCTATATCTTTATCTGTCTGTCTCTGTCTCTGTTTCTCTTTTTCTCTTCTTTTTCTATTTCTCTCTGTCTCTCTCTCTTTCACACACACACACTCACTCACACACACACACACACACACAGACACACACACACTTTTTTTCTGTATCTCTCTCCCTCGCTTTGTACTTTGACCCTTGAAAGAGTGAAATTGAAGAAAGCAGAAGAGGAAAAGAAGGAAATGTAATATCAGTAATTGAAAAGCACAAATGCTTATTCAAAATATTTGTACCTAAAACACAAAATTAAGAAATGCTTCATCCTGGCCATAATTTCTCCCTTTATGCAAAGGCTCTGCACTTCTTCTAAGAGAGGATCCATCTCAGATCTAGTCTCAAGCCTACTCACACCACTAACTTCAGGGAGAGAAGAGAAAAAATAATAGGTAGTTTGGCAAGATGTTTCTATTCTTTCAGAGATGTGCTGAGATCAGGCTGGACATAACAATATCTAATTTTTCCACCCATTTTATATTTAGTTCCTTCATTTCTCTTATCTCCTCTACTTACAGTTATGAAAGCTTTGAAATACATAGGATGATTCTGTGACTGAATATGAACCTCTGGCCAAGTGGATACTAGCATTCTTGAAAGAATACCACTGGGGCCCTCAATCACATATTACCCTTATCCACAACTGAAACCTCTTGAGATTCATACACTCTTGCCCTAAATATTACTCATCTCGTTTTATTTTTTCTACCCACAGAACCCCAAGCGAACCACTGTGAACGTAAGTAATATGTCTATCTCTAAAAAGTCCTTCTTTCCCTTTTCCTGAGGACCCTAGACCTTGTCTCTCATTTTAAACAATTTGGCATTTCCACTCTTAAAGTTCAGTACCAAGAAAGAGAGGGTAATGATGAACTAAGAGGGTGGTCTGGTTAAAAAGCGTTGTTCCTCTAGCCATTGCATACCTCTCATTTTTCTATCAGAGAATTTCCCAGATCAAAAATCCAAAGCCATTTTGGCATCTTTTCCCATAGCATAGTTTGCTTTTTTCCATTGGCTAATATCCTAGATCAAAGATTTCAAGATCACTTTGTAATATTTAATGCAATGTTCTCTTCATGTCTCTGCACTGTTCGTATTTCTCTCTCTCTCTATGTTTTCATGGTCCCTCGGTGTCTAGTCTTCTCTGAATCTATATCTTTATCTCTCTGTCTCTCTTTCTCTCTCTCTCTCTCTCTCTCTGCCTTTCTCTCACCCTCTGTCTCTCTCTTTCTCACACACACACACACACACACACACACACACACACACTTTTCTCTCTATCTTTCTCCCTCCCTTCTACTTTGACCTTTGAAAGAGGGAAATTTCAGAAAGCAAAATACTAAAAGAAGGAAATGTAATATTAGCAATTCAAACAGACAAACGCTTATTCAAAATATTTGTACTTAAAACACAAAATGAAGAAATGCTTCATCTTGGCCATAATTTCCCCCTTTATGCAAAGGCTCTTCACTTCTTCTAAGGAAGGATCCATCTCAGACCTAGGCTCAAGCCTGCTCATACCACTAACTTCAGGGAGAGAAGACAAGAAGAAATAGGTGGATTGGCAAGATGTTTGTATTCTTTAGAGATGTGCTGAGATCAGACTGAATGTAATAATATCTATTTTTTCCACCCATTTTATTTTTTTCCTTCTTTCTCTCTCTCTACTTACATTTATGAAAGCTTTGAAATGTAGGATGATTTTGTGAGTGAATATGAACCTCTGGCCAAGTGGATACTTGCATTCTTCAAGAATTCCACTGGGTCCTCGATCACATTTACTTTATCCACTCTGAAACCTCTTGAGATTCAAGGACTCTTGCCTAAACATCCTCATCTTTTTTTTTTCTACCCCAGAGACCAGGCGAACCACCGAGCTGAAGGTAAGTAATATGTCGATCTCTAAACAGTCCTTCTTTCCCTTTTCCTTAAGGACCCCAGACCTTGTCTCTCATTTTAAACAATTTGGCTCTTCCACTCTTAAAGTTCAGCATCAAGAAAGAGAGGGTAATGATGAACTAACAGGGTGCTCTAGTTAAAAATCGTTGTTCTCTCTTGCTATTGCATAGGTCTGATTTCTCCACCAGAGAATTTCCCAGATCAAAAATCCAAAGCCATTTTCTCATCTTTTCCCAAAGCATATTTGCTTTTTTTAGCTAAATGCTAGGTCAAAGATTTGAAGATCACTTTGTAATATTTAATGCAATGTTCTCTTCATGTCTCCCACTGTGGGTATTTCTCTCTCTCTTTCTCTCTGTTTTCATGGTCCTTCTCTATCTGGTCTTTCTCTGAATCTCTATCTTTATCTCTCTGGCTCTGTCTCTGTCTCTCTTTTTCTCTCTCTTTCTTTCTCTGTCTGTCTCTCTTTCACACACACGCGAGCACACACACACTCACACACACACACACACACACTTTTTCTCTCAATCTCTCTCTCTCCCTTGTACTTTGACCTTTGAAAGAGGGAAATTTCAGAAAGCAAAATACTACAAGAAGGAAATGTAATATTAGCAATTCAAACGGACAAACTCTTATTCAAAATATTTGTACTAAAAACACAAAATTAAGAAATGTTATATCCTGGCCATAATTTCCCCCTTTATGCAAAGGCTCTTCACTTCTAAAGAAGGATCCATCTTAGATCCAGCCTCAAGCCTGCTCATACCACTAACTTCAGGGAGAGAAGACAAGAAGAAATAGGTGGATGGGCAAGATGATTCTATTCTTTCAGAGACGTGCTGAGATCAGGCTGAACATAATAATATCTAATTTTTCCACCCATTTTATATTTAGCTCCTTCATTTCTCCTATGTCCTGTACTTATAGTTATGAATGCATTGAAATGCATAGAATGATTTTGTGACTGAACATGAACCTCTGGCCAATTGGATACTAGCATTCTTGAAAGAATTCCACTGGGTCCCTCCATCCCATATTACCTTTACCCACAATGGAAACCTCTTGAGATTCACAGGACTCTTGCCCTAAACATTCCTCATCTCTTTTTATTTTTTCTAGCCCCAGAAGACCCAGGTGAACCACCTGAAGGTAAGTAATATGTCTATCTCTAAGCACTCCTTTCTTTCCCCTTTCCTTGAAGCCCCCGACCTTGTCTCTCATTTGAAACCATTTGGCGCTTCCACTGTTAAAGTTCAGTACCAAGAAAGAGAGGGTAATGGCGAACTAACAGGGTGGTCAGGTTAAAAGGCGTTGTTTTCTCTTGCCATTGCATAGCTCTCATTTTTCCACCAGAGAATTTCCCAGATCAAAAATCCAAAGCCATTTTGTCATCTTTTCCCACAGCATAGTTTGCTTTTTTCCATTGGCTAATACCCTAGATCAAAGATTTCAAGATCACTGTGTAATATTTCATGCAATGTTCTCTTCATGTCTCTGCACTGTTCGTATTTTTTCTCTCTCTCTCTCTTTGTCTCTGTTTTACACAGTCACTCTCTGTCTGGTCTTTCTCTAAATCTATATCTTTGTCTCTCTGTCTCTCTCCCTCTTTTTCTCTGTCTCTCTCTCCTTTCTGTCTCTGTCTCTGTCTCTTTCACACACACACACACACACACACACACACACACACACACACACACTTTTTCTCTCTAACGTTCTCCCTCCCTTGTACTTTAACCTTTGAAAAAGAGAAATTTCAGACAGCACAAGAGAAAATGAAGGGAACGTAATATTAGGAATTCAAAAGGACAAATGCTTATTCAAAATATTTGTACCTAAAACACAAAATGAAGAAATGCTTCATCCTGGCCATGATTTCTCCCTTTATGCAAAGCCTCTTCAATTCTTCGAAGAAAGGATCCATCTCAGACCTAGCCTCAAGCCTGCTCACACCACTAACTTCAGGGAGAGAAGACAAGAAGAAATAGGTGGATTAGCAAGATGTTTATATTCTTTTAGAGGTGTGCTGAGACCAGGCTGAACATAATAATATCTAAGTTTTTCACCCATTTTATATTTAGTTCCTTCATTTCTCTTATCTCCTCTACTTACAGTTATGAAAGCTTTGAAATGCATAGGATGCTTTTGTCACTGAATATGAACTTCTGGCCAACTGGATAATTGCATTCTTGATAGAATTCCACTGGGGCCCTCGATCACATATTGCCCTTATCCACAACTGAAACCTCTTCACATTCATAGGACTCTTGCCCTAAACATTACTCATCTATTTTCATTTTTTCTACCCACAGAAGACGGAAGGCGACACACTAGGGAAGCTGAAGGTAAGTAATACGTCTATGTCTAAACAGTCCTTCTTTCCCGTTTCCTTGAGGACCCTAGACCTTGTCTCTCATTTGAAACAATTTGGCATTTCCACTCCTAAAGTTCACTACAAAGAAAAAGGGGTAATCATGAACTCCGAGGGTGATTAGGGTTAAAAGGCATTGTTCTCTCTGCCATTGCATAGGTCTCATTTTTCCACCACAGGGTTTTCCAGATCAAAAATGCAAAGCAATTTTGTCATATGTTCCCATAGCATATCTTTTTTTTCTGTTAGCTAAAATCCTAGGTCAACGATTTCAAGATCACTTTATAATATTAAATGCAAAGTCTCTTCATGTCTCCCACTGTTGGTATTTCTCTCTCTCTCTCTCTCTTCTCTCTCTCTCTCTCTCTCTCTTCTCTCTCTGTCTTCTCTCTCTCTCTCTCTCTCTCTCTCTCTCTCTCTCTTCTCTTCTCTCTTCTCTCTTTTTCATGGTCCCTCTGTGTCTGGTCTTTCTTGAATCTATATCTTTATCTCTCTATCTCTGTCTCGCTTTTTCTCTCCTTTCTCTCTCCCTGTGTCTCTCTCTCTTTCACACACACACACACACACACCACACACCACACATACACAGACACACATTTTCTCTGTGTCTCTCTCTCTCCCTTGTACATTTGAAAAGTGAATTTCAGAAAGCAAAAGAGAAAAGAAGGAAATAATATTAGGAATTCAAAACAAATGCTATTGAAAATATTGTACCTAGAACACAAAATTAAGAAATATTACATCCTGGCATAATTTCCCCTTTACACAAAGGCTCTTCGCTTCTTAAGGAAGGAGCCATCTCAGACCTAGCCACAAGCCTACTCACACCAAATCTTCAAGGAGAGAAGAGAAGAAGAAATTGGTAGTTTGGAAAGATGTTTCTATTGTTACAGATGTGCTGAGATCAGGTTGAACATAATAATATCTAATTTTTCCACCCATTTTATATTTGGTCCTTCATTTCTCTTATATCTTCTACTTACATTTATGAAAGCTTTGAAATGTATAGGATGATTTTGTGAGTGAATATGAACCTCTGGCCAAGTGGATACTTGCATTCTTCAAGAATTCCTGGGCCTTTGATCACATATTACCTTTATGCACAACTGAAACCTCTTGAGATTCACAGGACTCTTGCCCTAAACATTACTCATCTTTTTATTTTTTCTACCCAGAAGAACCAGAAGACCACCTGAAGGTAAGTAATATGTCGATCTCTAAACAGTCCTTTCTTTCCCCTTCCTTGAGGACCCCAGACCTTGTCTCTCATTTGAAACCATTTGGCACTCCACTCTTAAAGTTCAGTACCAAGAAAGAGAGGGGTGGTCAGCTTAAAAGGCTTTGTTTCTCTTCCATTGCATAGCTCTCATTTTTCCACCAGAGAATTTCCCAGATCAAAAATCCAAAATTATTTTGTCATCTTTTCCAAGCAATTCTTTGCTTTTTCCATTGCTAATATCCTAGATCAAACATTTCAAGATCACTTTGTAATATTAATGCAATGTTCTCTTCCTGTCTCTGCACGTGGGTATTTCTCTCTCTCTCTTCTCTCTCTGTCTTCACTCCTCTCTCTCTGTTGGTCTTTTCTGAATCTATATCTTTATCTCTCTGTCTCTGTCTCACTTTTTCTCTGCCTTTCTCTCCCTCTGTCTCTCTCTTTCACACACACACACACACACACACACACACACACACACACACATTTTCTCTGTATCTCTCTCTCTCCCTTGTACTTTCACCTTTGAAAGTGAAATTTCAGAAAGCAAAAGAGGAAAAGAAGGAATATGTAATATTAGGAATTCAAACGGACAAATGCGTATTGAAAATATTTGTACCTAAACACAAAATTAAGAAATTTACATCCTGGCCATAATTTCCCCCTTTACACAAAGGCTCTTCGCTTCTTCTAAGGAAGGAGCCATCTCAGACCTAGCCACAAGCCTACTCACACTATCTTGAAGGAGAGAAGAGAAGAAGAAATAGGTAGTTTGGAAAGATTCTATTGTTTACAGAGTGCTGAGATCAGGCTGAACATAATAATATCTAATTTTTCCCCCATTTTATATTAGGTCCTTCATTTCTCTTACTCTACTTACATTTATGAAAGCTTTGAAATGTATGGATGATTTTGTGAGTGAATATGAACCTCTGGCCAAGTGGATACTTGCATTCTTCAAGTAATTCCCTGGGTCCTTCATCACATATTACTTTATCACACGAAACCTCTTGAGATTCAGAAGGACTCTTGCCCTAAATTACTCATCTTTTTCTTTTTTCTACCCCAGGAGAACCAGGCGAACCACCTGAAGGTAAGTAATATGTCTATCTCTAAACACTCCTTTCTTTCCCCGTTCCTTGAGGACCCTAGACCTTGTCTCTCATTTGAAACCATTTGGCACATCCACTCTTAAAGTTCAGTACCAAGAAAGAGAGGGTAATAATGAACTAAGAGGGTGGTCAGCTTAAAAGGCTTTGTTTTCTCTTGCCATTGCATAGCTCTCATTTTTCCACCAGAGAATTTCCCAGATCAAAAATCCAAAATGATTTTGTCATCTTTTCCCAAAGCATAGTTTGCTTTTTTCCATTGCCTAATATCCTAGATCAAACATTTCAAGATCACATTGTAATATTTAATGCAATGTTCTCTTCCTGTCTCTGCAGTGTGGGTATTTCTCTCTCTCTTTCCCTCTGTTTTCACAGTCCCTCTGTGTCTGGTCTTTCTCTGAATCGATATCTTTATCTCTCTGTCTCTGTCTCGTTTTTTCTCTGCCTTTCTCTCACCCTCTGTCTCTCTTCACACACAACAGACACACACACACACACACACACCCATACACACACACATTTCTCTGTATCTCTCTCTCTCCTTGTACTTTCACCTTTGAAAAGTGAAATTTCAGAAAGCAAAAGAGGAAAAGAAGGGAATGTATTATTAGGAATGCAAACGGACTAATGCGTATTGAAAATATTTATACCTGAAACACAAAATTAAGAAATGTTACATACAGGCCATAATTTCCCGCTTTACACAAAGGTTTCTCGTAAGGAAGGAGCCATCTCAGACCTAGCCACAAGCCTACTCACACCAATATCTTCAAGGAGAGAAGAGAAGAAGAAATAGGTAGTTTGGAAAGATGTTTCTATTCTTTAGAGATGTGCTGAGATCAGGCTGAACATAATAATATCTAATTTTTCCACCCATTTTATATTTGGTCCTTCATTTCTCTTATATCTTCTACTTACATTATGAAAGCTTTGAAATGTATGGATGATTTTGTGAGTGAATATGAACCTCTGGCCAAGTGGATACTTGCATTCTTCAAGTAATTCCGCTGGGTCCTTTGATCACATATTACTTTATCCACAACGGAAACCTCTTGAGATTCAGAAGGACTCTTGCCCTAAACATTACTCATCTTTTTTTTTTTCTACCCCAGGAGAACCAGGCGAACCACCTGAAGGTAAGTAATATGTCTATCTCTAAACACTCCTTTCTTTCCCTTTCCTTGAGGACCCTAGACCTTGTCTCTCATTTGAAACCATTTGGCACATCCACTCTTAAAGTTCAGTACCAAGAAAGAGAGGGTAATAATGAACTAAGAGGGTGGTCAGCTTAAAAGGCTTTGTTTTCTCTTGCCATTGCATAGCTCTCATTTTTCCACCAGAGAATTTCCCAGATCAAAAATCCAAAATGATTTTGTCATCTTTTCCCAAAGCATAGTTTGCTTTTTTCCATTGCCTAATATCCTATCAACATTTCAAGATCACTTTGTAATATTTAATGCAATGTTCTCTTCCTGTCTCTGCAGCGTGGGTATTTCTCTCTCTCTTTCCTCTGTTTCACAGTCCCTCTGTGTCTGGTCTTTCTCTCAATCGATATCTTTATCTCTCTGTCTCTGTCTCACTTTTTCTCTGCCTTTCTCTTTCCCTCTGTCTCTCACTCTTTCACACACACACACAACACACAACACACACACACACACCCATACACACACACATTTTCTCTGTATCTCTCTCTCTCCCTTGTACTTTCACCTTTGAAACAGTGAAATTTCAGAAAGCAAAAGAGGAAAAGAAGGAAATGTAATATTAGCAATTCAAAAGGAAACGTATTGAAAATATTTGTACCTAAACACAAAATTAAGAAATGTTATCCTGGCCATAATTTCCCACTTTACACAAAGGCTCTTTGCTTCTTCTAAGGAAGGAGTCATCTCAGACCTAGCCACAAGCCTACTCACACCAATATCTTCAAGGAGAGAAGAGAAGAAGAAATAGGTAGTTTGGAAAGATGTTTCTATTGTTTACAGATGTGCTGAGATCAGGCTGAACATAATAATATCTAATTTTTCCACCCATTTTATATTTAGGTCCTTCATTTCTCTTATATCTTCTACTTACACTTATGAAAGCTTTGAAATGTATGGGATGATTTTGTGAGTGAATATGAACCTCTGGCCAAGTGGATACTTGCATTCTTCAAGTAATTCCACTGGGTCCTTCAATCACATATTACTTTATCCACCTCTGAAACCTCTTGAGATTCAGAAGGACTCTTGCCCTAAACATCACTCATCTTTTTTTTTTCTACCCCAGGAGAACCAGGCGAACCACCTGAAGGTAAGTAATATGTCTATCTCTAAACACTCCTTTCTTTCCCCATTCCTTGAGGACCCTAGACCTTGTCTCTCATTTGAAACCATTTGGCACATCCACTCTTAAAGTTCAGTACCAAGAAAGAGAGGGTAATAATGAACTAAGAGGGTGGTCAGCTTAAAAGGCTTTGTTTTCTCTTGCCATTGCATAGCTCTCATTTTTCCACCAGAGAATTTCCCAGATCAAAAATCCAAAATGATTTTGTCATCTTTTCCCAAAGCATAGTTTGCTTTTTTCCATTGCCTAATATCCTAGATCAAACATTTCAAGATCACATTGTAATATTTAATGCAATGTTCTCTTCCTGTCTCTGCAGTGTGGGTATTTCTCTCTCTCTTTCTCTGTTTTCACAGTCCCTCTGTGTCTGGTCTTTCTCTGAATCGATATCTTTATCTCTCTGTCTCTGTCTCACTTTTCTCTGCCTTTCTCTCTGTCTCTCTCTTTCACACACACACAACACACAACACAACACACACACACCATACACACACACACATTTTCTCTGTATCTCTCTCTCTCCCTTGTACTTTCACCTTTGAAAGTGAAATTTCAGAAAGCAAAAGAGGAAAAGAAGGAAATGTAATATTAGCAATTCAAAGGACAAAATTATTCAAAATATTTGTACCTAAAACACAAAATTAAGAAATGTTACATCCTGGCCATAATTTCCCACTTTACACAAAGGCTCTTTGCTTCTTCTAAGGAAGGAGTCATCTCAGACCTAGCCACAAGCCTACTCACACCAATATCTTCAAGGAGAGAAGAGAAGAAGAAATAGGTAGTTTGGAAAGATGTTTCTATTGTTTACAGATGTGCTGAGATCAGGCTGAACATAATAATATCTAATTTTTCCACCCATTTTATATTTAGGTCCTTCATTTCTCTTATATCTTCTACTTACACTTATGAAAGCTTTGAAATGTATAGGATGATTTTGTGAGTGAATATGAACCTCTGGCCAAGTGGATACTTGCATTCTTCAAGTACTTCTACAGGGTCCTTCAATCACATATTGACTTTATCCACCTCTGAAACCTCTTGAGATTCAGAAGGACTCTTGCCCTAAACATCACTCATCTTTTTTTTTTTTACCCCAGGAGACCAGGCGAACCACCTGAAGGTAAGTAATATGTCTATCTCTAAACACTCCTTTCTTTCCCCCCTTGAGGACCCTAGACCTTGTCTCTCATTTGAAACCATTTGGCACATCCACTCTTAAAGTTCAGTACCAAGAAAGAGAGGGTAATAATGAACTAAGAGGGTGGTCAGCTTAAAAGGCTTTGTTTTCTCTTGCCATTGCATAGCTCTCAGTTTTCCATCAGAGAATTTCCCAGATCAAAAATCCAAAATGATTTTGTCATCTTTTCCCAAAGCATAGTTTGCTTTTTTCCATTGCCTAATATCCTAGATCAAACATTTCAAGATCACTTTGTAATATTTAATGCAATGTTCTTCTGTCTCTGCAGTGTGGGTATTTCTCTCTCTCTTTCCCTCTGTTTTCACAGTCCCTCTGTGTCTGGTCTTTCTCTGAATCTATATCTTTATCTCTCTGTCTCTGTCTCGCTTTTTCTCTGCCTTTCTCTCACCCTCTGTCTCTGTCTTTCACACACACACACACACACACACACACACACACACACACACACATTTTCTCTGTATCTCTCTCTCTCCCTTGTACTTTCACCTTTGAAACAGTGAAATTTCAGAAAGCAAAAGAGGAAAAGAAGGAAATGTAATATTAGCAATTCAAAAGGACAAACAGTTATTCAAAATATTTATACCTAAAACACAAAATTAAGAAATTTTGCATCCTGGCCATAATTTCCCCCTTTATACAAAGGCTCTTCACTTCTTCTAAGGAAGGAGCCATCTCAGACCTAGCCAAGCCTACTCACACCAATATCTTCAAGGAGAGAAGAGAAGAAGAAATAGGTAGTTTGGAAAGATGTTTCTATTGTTTACAGATGTGCTGAGATCAGGCTGAACATAATAATATCTAATTTTTCCACCCATTTTATATTTAGGTCCTTCATTTCTCTTAATCTTCTACTTACATTATGAAAGCTTTGAAATGTATGGATGATTTTGTGAGTGAATATGAACCTCTGGCGAAGTGGATACTTGCATTCTTCAAGTAATTCAGCTGGGTCCTTTGATCACATATTACTTTATCCACCTCTGAAACCTCTTGAGATTCAGAAGGACTCTTGCCCTAAACATCACTCATCTTTTTCTTTTTTCTACCCCAGGAGAACCAGGCGAACCACCTGAAGGTAAGTAATATGTCTATCTCTAAACACTCCTTTCTTTCCCCGTTCCTTGAGGACCCTAGACCTTGTCTCTCATTTGAAACCATTTGGCACATCCACGCTTAAAGTTCAGTACCAAGAAAGAGAGGTAATAATGAACTAAGAGGGTGGTCAGCTTAAAAGGCTTTTTTTTCTTGCCATTGCATAGCTCTCATTTTTCCACCAGAGAATTTCCCAGATCAAAAATCCAAAATTATTTTGTCATCTTTTCCCAAAGCATAGTTTGCTTTTTTCCATTGCCTAATATCCTAGATCAAACATTTCAAGATCACTTTGTAATATTTAATGCAATGTTCTCTTCATGTCTCTGCAGTGTGGGTATTTCTCTCTCTCTTTCTCTGTTTTCACAGTCCTCTGTGTCTGGTCTTTCTCTGAATCTATATCTTCTCTCTGTCTCTGTCTCGCTTTTTTCTGTCTTTCTCTCCCTCTGTCTCTCTCTTTCACACACACACAACACCACACCACACACACACACACCCACACACACACATTTTCTCTGTATCTCTCTCTCTCCCTTGTACTTTGACCTTTGAAAGTGAAATTTCAGAAAGCAAAAGAGGAAAAGAAGGAAATGTAATATTAGCAATTCAAGGACAAACGCTTATTGAAATATTTGTACTAAAACACAAAATTAAGAAATGTTATCCTGGCCATAATTTCCCCCTTTATGCAAAGGCTCTTCACTTCTTCTAAGAAGGATCCATCTCAGACCTAGCCACAAGCCTACTCATACCACTAACTTCAGGGAGAGAAGAGAAGAAGAAATAGGTAGTTTGGCAAGATGTTTCTATTCTTTCAGAGATGTGCTGAGATCAGGCTGAACATAATAATATCTAATTTTTCCACCCATTTTATATTTAGGTCCTTCATTTCTCTATTCTTACTTACAGTTATGAAAGCTTTGAAATGTATAGATGATTTTGTGACTGAATATGAACCTCTGGCCAAGTGGATACTTGCATTCTTGAAAGAATTCCACTGGGTCCTTCATCACATATTACCTTTACCACTGAAACCTCTTGAGATTCAGGACTCTTGCCCTAAACATTCCTCATCTTTTTATTTTTTCTACCCAGAGACCCAGGTGAACCACCTGAAGGTAAGTAATATGTCTATCTCTAAACACTCCTTTCTTTCCCCTTTCCTTGAACCCTAGACCTTGTCTCTCATTTGAAACCATTTGGCACTCCACTCTTAAAGTTCAGTACCAAGAAAGAGAGGGTAATGAACTAACAGGGTGGTCAGCTTAAAAGGCTTGTTTTCTCTTGCCATTGCATAGCTCTCATTTTCCACCAGAGAATTTCCCAGATCAAAAATCCAAAGATTTTGTCATCTTTTCCCAAGCATAGTTTGCTTTTTTCCATTGGCTAATACCTAGATCAAAGATTTCAAGATCACTTGTAATATTTCAATGCAATGTTCTCTTCATGTCTCTGCACTGTTGTATTTCTCTCTCTCTTTGTCTCTGTTTTCACAGTCCTCTCTGTCTGGTCTTTCTCTGAATCTATATCTTTGTCTCTCTGTCTCTCTCTCTTTTTCTCTGTCTCTCTCTCCTTTCTGTCTCTGTCTCTGTCTCTTTCACACACACACACACACACACACACACAGACACACACACACACACACTTTTTCTCTCTAACGTTCTCCCTCCCTTGTACTTTAACCTTTGAAAGAGAGAAATTTCAGGAAGCACAAGAGAAAATGAAGAGAACATAATATTAGGAATTCAAAAGGAAAAATGCTTGTTCAAAATATTTGTACCTAAAACACAAAATGGAGAAATGCTTCATCCTGGCCATAATTTCTCCCTTTATGCAAAGCTCTTCAATTCTTCGAAGAAGGATCCATCTCAGACCTAGCCTCAAGCCTGCTCACACCACTAACTTCAGGGAGAGAAGACAAGAAGAAATAGGTGGATTAGCAAGATGTTTCTATTCTTTTAGAGATGTGCTGAGACCAGGCTGAACATAATAATATCTAAGTTTTTCACCCATTTTATATTTAGTTCCTTCATTTCTCTTATCTCCTCTACTTACAGTTATGAAAGCTTTGAAATGCATAGGATGCTTTTGTCACTGAATATGAACTTCTGGCCAACTGGATAATTGCATTCTTGATAGAATTCCACTGGGGCCCTCGATCACATATTGCCCTTATCCACAACTGAAACCTCTTCACATTCATAGGACTCTTGCCCTAAACATTACTCATCTATTTTCATTTTTTCTACCCACAGAAGACGGAAGGCGACACACTAGGGAAGCTGAAGGTAAGTAATACGTCTATGTCTAAACAGTCCTTCTTTCCCGTTTCCTTGAGGACCCTAGACCTTGTCTCTCATTTGAAACAATTTGGCATTTCCACTCCTAAAGTTCACTACAAAGAAAAAGGGGATAATCATGAACTCCGAGGGTGATTAGATTAAAAGGCATTGTTCTCTCCTGCTATTGCATAGGTCTCATTTTTCCACCACAGGACTTTCCAGATCAAAAATGCAAAGCAATTTTATCATCTGTTGCCATAGCATATCGTTGTTTTTTCTGTTAGCTAAAATCCTAGGTCAACGATTTCAAGATCACTTTCTAATATTTAATGCAATGATCTCTTCATGTCACCCATTGTTGGTATTTCTCTCTCTCTCTCTCTCTCTCTCTCTCTCTCTTCTGTCTGTCTCTCTCTGTCTTTCTCTCTCTCTCTCTCTCTCTCTTCTCTCTGTCTGTCTGTCTGTCTGTCTGTCTGTCTCTCATTCTCTCCGTTTTCAAGGTCCCTCTGTGTCTAGTCTTTCTTTGAATCTATATCTTTATCTCTCTATCTCTGTCTCGTTTTTTCTCTGCCTTTCTCTCTCCCTGTGTCTCTCTCTCTTTCACAGACACACACACTACCCCCCCACACCCATACACAGACACACATTTTCTCTGTGTCTCTGTCTCTCCCTTGTACATTTGAAAGAGTGCAATTTCAGAAAGCAAAAGAGAAAAAGAAGGATACATAATATTAGGAATTTAAAAGGTCAAATGCTTATTGAAAAATTTGTACCTAGAACACAAAATTAACAAATGTTACATCCTGGCCATAATTTACCCCTTTACACAAAGGCTCTTCACTTCTTTTAAGGAAGGATCCATCTCAGACCTAGGCACAAGCCTACTCACACCAACATCTTGAAGGAGAGAAGAGAAGAAGAAATTGGTAGTTTGGCAAGATGTTTCTATTCATTAGAGATGTGCTGAGATCAGGCTGAACATAATAATATCTAATTTTTCCACCTGGTTTATATTTGGATCCTTCATTTCTCTTATATCTTCTGCTTACATTTATGAAAGCTTTGAAATGTATAGGATGATTTTGTGAGTGAATATGAACCTCTGGCCAAGTGGATACTTGCATTCTTCAAGAAATTCCACTGAGGCCTTTGATCACATATTAGCTTTATGCACAACTGAAACTTCTTGAGATTCACAGGACTCTTGCCCTAAACATTACTCATCTTTTTATTTTTTCTAGACCCAGAAGAACCAGAAGAACCACCTGAAGGTAAGTAATATGTCCATCTCTAATCAGTCCTTTCTTTCCCCTTTCCTTGAGGACCCTAGACCTTGTCTCTCATTTTAAACCATTTGGCACTTCCACTCTTAAAGTTCAGTACCAAGAAAGAGAGGGTGGTCAGCTTAAAAGGCTTTGTTTCCTCCTTCCATCGCATGGCTCTCCTTTTTCCACCAGAGAATTTCCCAGATCAAAAATCCAAAATTATTTTGTCATCTTTTACCATAGAATTCTTTGCTCTTTTCCATTGGCTAATATCCTAGATCAAACATTTCAAGATCACTTTGTAATATTTAATGCAATGTTCTCTCCATGTCTCTGCACGGTGGGTATTTCTCTCTCTCTCTCTCTCTCTCTCTCTCTCTCTCTCTCTCTCTCTCTCTCTGTTTTCACGGTCCCTCTGTGTCTGAATCTATATCTTTATCTCTCTGTCTGTGTCTCACTTTTTCTCTGCCTTTCTCTCTCCCTCGGTCTCACTCTCTTTCACACATACACACACAGAGCCATACTCACACACACACATTTTCTCTGTATCTCTCTCTCTCCCTTGTACTTTGACGTTGAAAGGGTGAAATTTCAGAAAGCAAAAGAGGAAAAGAAGGAAATGTAATATTAGGAATTCAAAAGGACAAGTGCTTATTCAAAATATTTGTACCTAAAAGACAAAATTAAGAAATTTTACATCCTGGCCATCATTTCCCCCTTTACCCAAAGGCTCTTCACTTCTTTTAAGGAAGAAGCCATCTAAGACCTAGCCACAAGCCTACTCACACTAATATCTTGAAGGAGAGAAGACAAGAAGAAATAGGTAGTTTGGAAAGAAGTTTCTATTCTTTAGAGAGGTGCTGAGATTAGGCTGAACATAATAATATCTAATTTTTCCCCACATTTTATATTAGGTCCTTCATTTCTCTTATATCTTCACCTTACATTTATGAAAGCTTTGAAATGTATGGGATGATTTTCTGAGTGAATATGCACCTCTGACCAAGTGAATACTTGCATTCTTCAAGTAATTCCGCTGGGTCCTTCAATCACATGTTGCCTTTATTCACAACGGAAACCTCTTGAGATTCAGAAGGACTCTTGCCCTATACATTACTCATCTTTTTATTTTTTCTAGCCCCAGAAGAACCAGGCGAACCACCTGAAGGTAAGTAATACGTCTATCTCTAAGCACTCCTTTCTTTCCCCTTTCCTTGAAGCCCCCGACCTTGTCTCTCATTTTAAACCATTTGGCACTTCCACTCTTAAAGTTCAGTACCAAGAAAGAGAGTGTAATAATGAACTAAGAGGGTGGTCAGCTTAAAAAGCTTTGTTTTCTCTTGCCATTGCATAGCTCTCATTTTTCCACTAGAGAATTTCGCAGATCAAAAATCCAAAATTATTTTGTCATCTTTTCCCACAGCATAGTTTGCTTTTTTCCATTGCCCAATATCCTAGATCAAACATTTCAAGATCACACTGTAATATTTAATGCAATGTTCTCTTCCTGTCTCTGCAGTGTGGGTATTTCTCTCTCTCTCTTTCCCTCTGTTTTCACAGTCCCTCTGTGTCTGGTCTTTCTCTGAATCTATATCTTTATCTCTCTGTCTCTGTCTCACTTTTTCTCTGCCTTTCTCTCACCCTCTGTCTCTTTCACACACATACAGACACACACACACTCACACACACACACACACCCATACACACACACATTTTCTCTGTATCTCTCTCTCTCCCTTGTACTTTCACCTTTGAAACAGTGAAATTTCAGAAAGCAAAAGAGGAAAAGAAGGAAATATAATACTAGTAATTCAAACAGACAAATGTGTATTGAAAACATTTGTACCTAAAACACAAAATTAAGACATGTTGCATCCTGGCCATAAATTCCCCCTTTACACAAAGGCTGTTCGCATCTTCTAAGGAAGGAGCCATCTCAGACCTAGGCACAAGCCTACTCACACCAACATCTTGAAGGAGAGAAGACAAGAAGAAATAGGTAGTTTGGAAAGATATTTCCAGTCTTTAGAGATGTGCTGAGATCAGGCTGAACATAATAATATCTAATTTTTCCACCTGGTTTATATTTGGGTCCTTCATTTCTCTTATATCTTCTACTTACATTTATGAAAGCTTTGAAATGTATAGGATAATTTTGTGAGTGAATATGAGCCTCTGGCCAAGTGGATACTTGCATTCTTCAAGAAATTCCGCTGAGGCCTTTGATCACATATTACCTTTATGCACAATTGAAACTTCTTGAGATTCACAGGACTCTTGCCCTAAGCATTACTCATCTTTTTCTTTTTTCTACCCCAGGAGACCCAGGCGAACCACCTGAAGGTAAGTAATATGTCTATCTGTAAATACTCCTTTCTTTCCCTGTTCCTTGAAGACCCTAGACCTTGTCTCTCATTTGAAACCATTTGGCACATCCACTCTTAAAGTTCAGTACCAAGAAAGAGAGGGTAATAATGAACTAAGAGGGTGGTCAGCTTAAAAGGCTTTGTTTTCTCTTGCCATTGCATAGCTCTCATTTTTCCATCAGAGAATTTCCCAAATCAAAAATCCAAAAGTATTTTGTCATCTTTTCCCAAAGCATAGTTTGCTTTTTTCCATTGCCTAACATCCTACATCAACATTTCAAGATCACATTGTAATATTTACTTCAATGTTCTCTTCCTGTCTCTGCAGTCTGGGTATTTCTCTCTCTCTTTCCCTCTGTTTTCACAGTCCCTCTGTGTCTGGTCTTTCTCTGAATCTATATCTTTATCTCTCTGACTCTGTCTCACTTTTTCTGTGCCTTTCTGTCACCCTCTGTCTCTCTCTTTCACACAAACACAGACACACACACACACACACACACACACACCCATACACACACACATTTTCTCTGTATCTCTCTCTCCCTTGTACTTTCACCTTTGAAACAGTGAAATTTCAGAAAGCAAAAGAGGAAAAGAAGGAAATGTAATATTAGCAATTCAAAAGGAGAAACACTTATTCAAAATATTTGTACCTAAAACACCAAATTAAGAAATGTTATATCCTGGCCATAATTTCCCCCTTTACACAAAGGCTCTTTGCTTCTTCTAAGGAAGGAGCCATCTGAGACCTAGCACAAGCCTACTCAAACCAATCTCTTCAAGGAGAGAAGAGAAGAAGAAATTGGTGGTTTGGAAAGGTGTTTCTATTGTTTACAGATGTGCTGAGATCAGGCTGAACATAATAATATCTAATTTTTCCACCCATTTTATATTTAGCTCCTTCATTTCCTTATATCTTCTACTTACACTTATGAAAGCTTTGAAATGTATGGGATGATTTTCTGAGTGAATATGCACCTCTGACCAAGTGAATACTTGCATTCTTCAAGTAATTCCACTGGGTCCTTCAAATCACATATTACTTTATCCACCTCTGAAACGTCATGAGATTCAGAAGGACTCTTGCCCTAAACATCACTCATCTTTTTCTTTTTTCTACCCCAGGAGACCCAGGCGAACCACCTGAAGGTAAGCAATATGTCTATTTCTAAACACTCCTTTCTTTCCCCATCCCTTGAGGACCCTAGACCTTGTCTCTCATTTGAAACCATTTGGCACATCCACTCTTAAAGTTCAGTACCAAGAAAGAGAGGGTAATGATGAACTAAGAGGGTGGTCAGCTTAAGAGGCTTTGTTTTCTCTTGCCATTGCATAGCTCTCATTTTTCCATCAGAGAATTTCCCAGATCAAAAATCCAAAAGTATTTTGTCATCTTTTCCCAAAGCATAGTTTGCTTTTTTCCATTGCCTAACATCCTACATCAACATTTCAAGATCACATTGTAATATTTACTTCAATGTTCTCTTCCTGTCTCTGCAGTCTGGGTATTTCTCTCTCTCTTTCCCTCTGTTTTCACAGTCCCTCTGTGTCTGGTCTTTCTCTGAATCTATATCTTTATCTCTCTGACTCTGTCTCACTTTTTCTGTGCCTTTCTGTCACCCTCTGTCTCTCTCTTTCACACAAACACAGACACACAGACACACACACACACACACACACCCATACACACACACACATTTTCTCTGTATCTCTCTCTCTCCCTTGTACTTTCACCTTTGAAACAGTGAAATTTCAGAAAGCAAAAGAGGAAAAGAAGGAAATGTTATATTAGGAATTGAAAAGGAGAAATGCTTATTCAAAATATTTGTACCTAAAACACAGAATCAAGAAATGCTTCATCCTGGCCATAATTTCTCCTTTTACACAAAGTCTCTTCACTTCTTCTAAGGAAGAGCCATCTCAGACCTACCCCAAGCCTCTCACACCAATATCTTCAGGAGAAGAGACAAGAAGAAATAGGTATTGGAAAGATGTTTCTATTGTTTAGAGATGTGCTGAGATCAGGCTGAACATAATAATATCTAATTTTTCCACCCATTTTATATTTAGCTCCTTCATTTCCTTATATCGTCTACTTACACTTATGAAAGCTTTGAAATGCATAGGATGATTTTGTGACTGAATATGAACCTCTGGCCTAGTGGATACTTGCATTCCTGAAAGAATTCCCCTGGGGCCCTCGATCACATATAACCCTTATCCATACCTAAAACCTCTTGCGATTCATAGAGTCTTGCCCTAAACGTTACTCATCTCGTTTTATTTTTTCTACCCACAGAACCCCCAAGCAAACCACCTGGTAAACGTAAGTAATATGTCTTTCTCTAAAGAGTCCTTCTTTCCTTTTTCCTTAAGGACCCCAGACCTTGTCTCTCATTTTAAACAATTTGGCATTTCCAATCTTAAAGTTCAGTACCAAGAAAGAGGGGGTAATGATGAACTGACAGGGTGGTCAGGTTAAAAGGCATTGTTCTCCCTTGCCATTGCATCTGTCTCATTTTCCATCTTAGAATTTCCCAGATCAAAAATCCAAAGCCAGTTTATCATCTCTTGCAATTACATATATTTGCTTTTTCTGTTAGCTAATATCCTAGATCAATGATTTCAAGATCACTTTGTAATATTTAATAAAATATTTTCTTTGTAGCTCTGCAATGTTTGTTTCTCTCTCTCTCTCTCTCTCTCTCTCTCTCTCTCTCTCTCTCTCTCTCTCTCTCCTCTCTGTCTCTCTATTTTTCTCCATCTCCCATTCTCTCTCAGACTCTCTCTTCTCCGTTACTTTGACTTTTCAAGGAGGGTTCTTTTATAAAACAGTAGAAGGGAAAGAAGAAAATAATACCAAGAACCCAAAGAGACAAATACCTATCCAAAAAATTTGTATCTATAACACAAAATAAAGAAGTGCAATGTTGTGGTCATATTTTTTCACCTTTAAAGAAAGCCTCTTCACTTCTGCTAAGAAAGGACCCATCTCAGGCCTAGCTTCAAATCTACTCACACCACTGACTTCAGGAGAGATGGCAAGAAGTAATAGGAGGTGGTTCTGAGCCTTCTTACAACATCACTAATGTGAAAATATTTAATAGAAACGTATATGTATAGCCTATATCAGATTACACACTATCTTGGGGAAGGAGGCAGGGAGGGAGAAGGAGAAAAATTTAAAACTCAAAAGCTTATGGAAGTGATTGTTGATAAATTAAAATAAATTAATTTTAAAAAAAGGAAAAGAACATTAAAAAAAAAAAACAGGAGCATTGGTAAGACATTCCTAGCCTTTCCCTGCCCCTGATTGAGGGAGTCAATCTGTACTGACTGATTTCTATTAAGTAACTTTCTTTTTGTTTTTCTTCATATTAGGCTAATAGTGAGATAAGTAAGTCCACATTGCCAGCCTTTTTTTTCAGACTCAGTTTTGGGAAAAACAATTTGAATTCATTTCCATTATTTGCTTTTTGTATTCTTTTTCTTAGTAACTGAAAGATCTGTCAGGAAAGGAAAAGGAGCTTATGATTGCACTTCAACTAATTCTGAAGGCCTGGTTTAGATTGAACAATGTTCTGAGATTCTGCTAGATGCCAAAGAAATTCATCAGAAATGTTAGCAAAATTTTACTCTTTTTTATTAATAAGATTTTTCTAGTTCAGTCATACTGTTTCAAGTACGTCTTCCAGGTACCTCTTTTTCAATTAATTCTATTGCCATAGTTATCCGCATTATTTACCTAGCATTGTAAACTGTCTAATATATTATGGTCATGATAGGGGTTGTGAGATCTGACTGATCACAACAATATCTGTTTTTCCATCCTTTTTGTCTGTATTTCCTTTATTTCTCTTACTTCCTGTAGTTAATATGTATGACAGCTTTGAAATGAATGGAATGAGTTCTGGATTTTATTTGGTAACCTCTAGTCACATGGAGGCTTCTATTCCTGATAGAATTCCACTGGGGCCCTTGAACATAGATTGTTTTTCTCCACAACTGAAAACTCTTCAGATTCATAAGACTCCTGCCCTAATACCACTGTTTCCCCAAGGCTTGTTGACCCAAGCCTTCCTTCAGCCAAAGACAAAGTGTATTAGAACATCCATGTTATTGGGCAGACTCTTAAGGAATCTGAACATTAATAAGAGCTGTTGGCTTATTGGCTAGATTATAAGAATCTAAACAGAGGCTGGATTTTAGGAATCTGAGCAGTGGCTACATTATAAGAATCTGAGCATCTTAATGCAGACAAGATAGACCTTATATACAGAAAGACTGTGGGAGGCATCTAGGAGTGGCCAAGCAGTCTATGAGGTAATAGAATTCCAGGAAAATGGAGAGGGAGGCAAGACAATGGAGGGGAGGTTGGGTGTAGCCACAATGAAAGGCCAGTTGATGGGATTCTATCCCAGGGAATGTCAGAGATTTGGCCACTTGGGAAAGTCTAGGGTTTTTCCTTTCTGGAGCTGAGATCCCAACCCCATCACAGGGACAGAAAGAAAGTAGAAATAGGAGCATTGGCAAGACTTTCTAGCTCCTAGCCTTTGTCTGCTCCTGGATTGATGGAGTCAGTTGGGATTGATTTATCATTAATTGCCTTTCTTGTTGTTTTCCTTAATATTAGGCTAGTAGTGAGACAAGGAAGTTCATAGTACCATCCCCTTTTCAGACTCTGGACTGGGAGAAGCAATTTAACTTGGTTTCTATTACTTGACTTTTGTGTTTTTATTCTTAGTAAGTGAAAGATCTGTCAGGAGAGTAAAAGGGGCTTATGATTGCACTTCAACTAATTTTGAAGGTTTCGTTTACATAGACCAATGGTCTCAGCAGGGGCCCTATGCCAAAGAAATACATCAGAAATTTTTAGTGAAATTCTACTAGTTTTATTGAGTAATGTTTTTCTAGTTGCCTAATACTGCTTCAACTATGTTCTCCAAGCATCTCTTTTTCAATTAATTCTATTGCTAGGATTCTCCCATTATTTACCTAGGATTCAAAAGATGATAACACCATCTTATATCTTATATCATGGTCACGATAAGGTTGTGAGATCAGGGTGATCACAATAATATCTAATTTTTCCAGTCCTTTTGTCTTTATTTCCTTCATTTCTCATACCTCCTATAGTTAATATACTATGACAACTTTGAAATGAATGAGATTAATTCAGGATTTTATGACTTAAAATGTAACCTCTGGAGGTTACATGGAGGCTACTATTCCTGATAAGATTCCACTTGGGCCTTTGAACATAGGCCCTTATCCAGTACTGAAAACACTTGATATTTGTAAGATTCTTACTCCAAACATCACTTTTCCTTTTTTTTTCATTCTATGCACAGAAGTCCCTAAGAAATCTTTTCGACCTTTTAGTAAGTTACAGTCTATTTCTATTCCAAAACTGTATTTCTTTCCTTTTTTGTTGTAGCCCCTAGTTCTTGTCTCACATTATGGACCATTTGGGTATTCATCCTCTTACAATTGAATATGAATAAACAGAGGGTACTGATGAGCTAAGGGTTTGCTCATGTTAAATTGCATTATTCTATCTTGCCATTGCATAGGTTTCATTTTTCTACCAGAAAATTTCCTCGATCAAAAAATCAAAGTCACTTTGTCATCTTCAATTAAATGCTCTGTGTCTTTTTCTCTGCCTCTTTCAGTCTTTCTGTCTATATCTTCTGCTGTCTCCTTTCCCTCTCCCCACCTCCCTCCCTTCCTCTTCTCTCTCTTTTCCCTCCTTCCCTCTCTGTCTCTCTCTGTCTCTGTCTCTCTCTCTATCTTTCTGTCTTTCTCTTTCTCTCATACTGTCCTATTTTAACCTTTGAAAAATGTTCTTTTGTAAAGCTGAAGGAGGAAAGGAGAGATGTAATAAATGGAACCCAAAAGGACAAATGCCTATTCAAAAGATTTGCATCTAAAATACTAAATAAAGAAATGCTACATTCTGGCCATATTTTTCCCCTTTATACATAGCCTCCTTACTTCTATGAAAGCACTCATCTCAGATCTAGCTTCAAATCTATTCCCACCAATGACTGCAGGGACAGAAGGCAAGAAGAAATAGGTGGATTCGCAAGACATTCCTAGCTTTTCTCTAACCCTGGATTGAGGGAGTCAGTTTGGATTGATTTCTATTAATTGCCTTTCTTGTTGTTTTCCTTAATATTAGGCTAGTAGTGAGACAAGGAAGTCTGAATGACCATCCCTTTTTCAGACTCTGCACTGAGAGAAATAATTTATTTTAGTTTCCATTGTTTTCCTTTTGTGATCTTCTCCTTAGTAGGGGAAAGATCTGTCAGGGAAGTAAAAGGGGCTTATGCTTGACTTCAACTAATTTTGAAGGCTTCATTTCCATAGACCAATGATCTTGGGAGGTACTCTATGCCAAAGAAATGCATCACAGATTGTTAATGAAATTCTCCTAGTTTTTATTGAGTAACATTTTTCTAGCTATGTAATACTGCTTCAACTATGTTCTCCAGGTACCTCTTTTTAAGTAATTCTACTTCCATCATTACTCCCATTATTTACCTAGGATTCAAAAGATGATAAACTGTCTTATATCATAGTCACAATAGAGGTTGTGATTTTAGGCTGATCACAATAACATCTAATTTTCCACCCTTTTCACACCTATTTCCTTCATTTCTCATACATCCTGTAGATAACATGTTATGACAGCTTTGAAATGAATAAGATAAGTTCTGGATTTTATGACTGAGTATGTAACCTCTGACCAAGTGGAGGCTTCTATTGCTGGTAGAATTCCACTGGGGCCTTTGAACATAGGTTGTCCTTATCCACAACTGAAAACTTGAGATTCATAAGATTCTTCTCCTAAACATCACTTTTTCTTTTTTATTCTATCTATAGCACTTCATAGGCAACCATTTGGCCGACCTCAGGGTAAGTTACACTCTATCCCAAAATTTGATTTTTTTCCTTTTTCCTCCCAGCCTGGCTCCTTTTCTCACGTTAAAGACCACTTGGCTATTCATCCTCTTAAAGTTGAGTACAAATAAACTGAGGGTACTGATGAACTAAGGATGTGGTCATGTCAAATGCATTAGTCTCTCTTGCCATTGCAGAGGTCTCATTTTTCCACCAGAGAATAGCCTAGATCAAAAAAACCAAAGTCATTTTGTCATCTTCAATGAAATGCTCTGTGTCTGTCTTTTTCTCTGTATCTTTCAGTCTTTCTGTCTATATCTCCCTTTATCTGTCTCCTCCCCCTCTCTATTCCCTCTCCCTACATCTTTCTCTGTCTCTGTCTCTCTCCTCCTCTCCTATTTCAACCTGAAGGAGGAAAGGAGAGATGTAATAAAAGGAATCTCAAAGGTCAAATGCCTATTCAAAAGATTTGCATCTAAAACACAAAGTAAAGAAATGCTACATTTCAGCCATATATTTCACCTTTAAATACAACCTCTTTACTTATGTGAAAGCACCCATTTCAGATCTAACCTCTAATCTATTCACACCACTGACTGCAAGGACAGAAAGAAGGAAGAAATAGGAGGACTGGCAAGACTTTCTAGCTCTTAGCCTTTCTCTGTTCCTGGATTGATGGAGTCAGTTGGGATTGATTTATCATTAATTGACTTTCCTGTTGTTTTTCTTAATATTAGGCTAGTAGTGAGACAAGGAAGTCCACCTTACCCCATCCCCTTTTCAGACTCTGGACTGGGAGAAGCAATTTAACTTGGTTTCTATTACTTGACTTTTGTGTTTTTATTCTTAGTAAGTGAAAAGATCTGTCAGGAGAGTAAAAGGGGCTTATGATTGCACTTCAACTAATTTTGAAGGTTTCGTTTACATAGACCAATGGTCTCAGCAGGGGCCCTATGCCAAAGAAATACATCAGAAATTTTTAGTGAAATTCTACTAGTTTTATTGAGTAATGTTTTTCTAGTTGCCTAATACTGCTTCAACTATGTTCTCCAAGCACCTCTTTTTCAATTAATTCTATTGCTAGGATTCTCCCATTATTTACCTAGGATTCAAAAGATGATAACATCATCTTATATCTTATATCGTATCATAGTCACAATAAGCTTGTGAGATCAGGGTGATCACAATGATATCTAATTTTTCCAGTCTTTTTGTCCTTATTTCCTTCTCCTTGTAGTTAATTTATGCTGATAGCTTTGAAATGAATGAGATGAATTCTGGATTTTAAGACTATAATATGTAACCTCCGGCAACATGGAGGCTACTATTCCTGATAGAATTCCACTGGGGCCTTTGAACATGGGTTGTCCTTATACACAACTGAAAACTTGAGATTCATAAGAGTCTTCCCCTAAACATCACTTTTTCTTTTTTATTCTAACTATAGCACTTCGTAGGCAACCATTTGGCCGACCTCAGGGTAAGTTACACTCTATCCCAAAATTTGATTTTTTTCCTTTTTCCTCCCAGCCTGGCTCCTTTTCTCACATTAAAGACCACTTGGCTATTCATCCTCTTAAAGTTGAGTACAAATAAACTGAGGGTACTGATGAACTAAGGATGTGGTCATGTCAAATGCATTAGTCTCTCTTGCCATTGCAGAGGTCTCATTTTTCCACCAGAGAATAGCCTAGATCAAAAAAACCAAAGTCATTTTGTCATCTTCAATGAAATGCTCTGTGTCTGTCTTTTTCTCTGTATCTTTCAGTCTTTCTGTCTATATCTCCCTTTATCTGTCTCCTCCCCCTCTCTATTCCCTCTCCCTACATCTTTCTCTGTCTCTGTCTCTCTCCTCCTCTCCTATTTCAACCTGAAGGAGGAAAGGAGAGATGTAATAAAAGGAATCTCAAAGGTCAAATGCCTATTCAAAAGATTTGCATCTAAAACACAAAGTAAAGAAATGCTACATTTCAGCCATATATTTCACCTTTAAATACAACCTCTTTACTTATGTGAAAGCACCCATTTCAGATCTAACCTCTAATCTATTCACACCACTGACTGCAAGGACAGAAAGAAGGAAGAAATAGGAGGACTGGCAAGACTTTCTAGCTCTTAGCCTTTCTCTGTTCCTGGATTGATGGAGTCAGTTGGGATTGATTTATCATTAATTGACTTTCCTGTTGTTTTTCTTAATATTAGGCTAGTAGTGAGACAAGGAAGTCCACCTTACCATCCCCTTTTCAGACTCTGGACTGGGAGAAAGCAATTTAACTTGGTTTCTATTACTTGACTTTTGTGTTTTTATTCTTAGTAAGTGAAAGATCTGTCAGGAGAGTAAAAGGGGCTTATGATTGCACTTCAACTAATTTTGAAGGTTTCGTTTACATAGACCAATGGTCTCAGCAGGGGCCCTATGCCAAAGAAATACATCAGAAATTTTTAGTGAAATTCTACTAGTTTTATTGAGTAATGTTTTTCTAGTTGCCTAATACTGCTTCAACTATGTTCTCCAAGCACCTCTTTTTCAATTAATTCTATTGCTAGGATTCTCCCATTATTTACCTAGGATTCAAAAGATGATAACATCATCTTATATCTTATATCGTATCATAGTCACAATAAGCTTGTGAGATCAGGGTGATCACAATAATATCTAATTTTTCCAGTCTTTTTGTCCTTATTTCCTTCTCCTTGTAGTTAATTTATGCTGATAGCTTTGAAATGAATGAGATGAATTCTGGATTTTAAGACTATAATATGTAACCTCCGGCAACATGGAGGCTACTATTCCTGATAGAATTCCACTGGGGCCTTTGAACATGGGTTGTCCTTATACACAACTGAAAACTTGAGATTCATAAGAGTCTTCCCCTAAACATCACTTTTTCTTTTTTATTCTAACTATAGCACTTCGTAGGCAACCATTTGGCCGACCTCAGGGTAAGTTACCTTCTATCCCAAAATTTGATTTTTTTCCTTTTTCCTCCCAGCCTGGCTCCTTTTCTCACATTAAAGACCACTTGGCTATTCATCCTCTTAAAGTTGAGTACAAATAAACTGAGGTACTGATGAACTAAGGATGTGGTCATGTCAAATGCATAGTCTCTCTTGCCATTGCAGAGGTCTCATTTTTCCACCAGAGAATTTCTTAGATCAAAAAACTAAAGTCATTTTGTCATCTTCAATTAAATGTTCTCTCTCTTTTTCTCTGTCTCTGTCTGAATCTCCCTCTGTCTCTTGTTCCTCTCCTTTCTCTTCCCCATCTCTCTCTTTTCTCTCTCTTTCTCTTTCTATCCTACTTTAACCTTTGAAAAAGGGTTCTTTCATAAAGCTGAAGAAAAAAAGGAGAGATGTAAGAAAAGGAACCCAAAACGACAAAGGCCTATTCAAAAGATTTGCACCGAAAATACAAAATACAAAATAAAAAAAATTCTACATTCTGGCCATATATTTCACCTTTAAACATAGCCTCTTTTCCTTCTATGAATGGACCCATCTCAAATCTACTGCCACCACTGATGCAGGGGCAGAGGGCAAGAAGAAATAAGAGGATTGGCAAGACATTCCTAGACTTTCCCTGACCTTGGATTGAAGGAGTCAGTTTGGATTCATTTCTATTAATTGCCTTTCTTGTTGTTTTCCTTCATATTAGACTAATAATGAGGCAAGTGAGTTCACATTACCATCCCTTTTTCAGATTCTGGACTGAGAGAAACAATTTAAATTAGTTTCCATATTTGCCATTTGTATTTTTCTTCTTAGTAAATGAATGATCTGTCAAGGGAGTAAAACAGGTTTATGCTTGCACTTCAATTAATTTTGAAGCTTCATTTACAGAGACCAACGGCCTTAGGAGGTGTTCTTTTCCAAAGAAATACATCACAAAAAAATCCAAATTCTACTAGTTTTTATTGAGTACCATTTTCTAGTTGTCTAATACTCCTTCAACTATGTTCTCCAGGTACCTCTTTTTCAATTAATTCTATTGCATTGGGGCCCTTGACAATAGATTTTCCTTATCCACAACTGGAAATTCTTCAGATTCATAAGATTCTTGCCCTAAACATCCTTTTTTCCTTTTTTTTTTTTAATTCTATACGCAGGACCCCCTAGATGATCTCGTGGACCTGAGTGTAGATCACAGTCTATCCCAAAACTGGCTTTCTTTCCTTTTTTCCTGTAGTCCCTGGTCCTTGTCTCACATTATAGACTACTTGAGTATTCATTCATCCTCTTAAAGTAGAGTAGGGATAAAGAGAGGATTCTGATGAACTAAGGGTATGGTCATGTTAATAGGTATTATTCTCTCTTGCCAGAGCATAGGTCTCATTTTTCACCAGAGAATTTTCCCAGATCATAAAACCAGTCACTTTGTTGTCTTCATTTAAATACTCTGTCTCTATTTCCCTCTCTCTTTCTCTCTCTGTCTCTTTCTTTTTCATACTTGGGCCTTCAAATGAGGAAGCATGAGAGAGAAAGAAAGAAAGAAAGAAATGTATCTTCAAGAACCCTAACATCCAAATGCCTATTCAAAAGATTTGTATCTAAACATGAAATTAAGGAATACTATATCCTGGCCATATGCTCCACCTTTATGCAAAGCTTCTTTAATTCTTCTAAGAAACAACCCACCTCAGACTTCAAACCTAGTCCCACTACTGACTGTGCAAGGAGAGAGGGCAATGACAAATAGGAGGATTGGCAAGATGTTTCTAGCCTTTCTCTGCCCCCAGATTGAGGGAGTCAATTGGAATTCGTTTCTATTTAATTGACTTTCTTATTGTGTTCCTTAATATTAAACTAGCAGTGAGATAAAAAAAAAACCAAATTATCATCATTTTTTCTGACCCTGGTCTGGAAAATCAATTTGTATTCCTTACCATTATTTCCCTTTTCTATTCTTCCTCTTAGCAGGTGAAAGTTCTGTCAAGTAAATAGAAGAGGCTTATACTTGCCTTTCAACTCACTTTGAAGGCTTCATTTATGTAGACCAATGGCCTGAGAAGGTTCTCAATACCAAAGAAATAGGTCACAAATATTTAGCAAAATTTGACTAATTTTACTGAATAACATTTCATTTTATTTTATTTTATTGAGTAGTAGTTTTCTAGTTCAGTCATACTGCTTCTACTAGGTCCTCCAGGTACTGCTTTGTCAATTGATTCTATCTCCAGTGGTTACTATCATAATTTACTTAGATGATAATCTATTTTATATCATGGTTTTAATAGATGTTATGAGGTCAGTGTGATCACAACGACATCTAATTTTCCATCCATTTTGTCTCTCTTTCATTCAGTTCTCATACCTCTTATATTTAATATGTTATGACAGCTTGGAAATGGTTGGGAAGATTCTGTATTTTGTGCCTGGATATGCAACCTCTGGCCAAGTGAATGCTTGTGTTTCTGATAGAATTCCACTGGATTTATCCCCTTGAATATAGATTTCCTTTATCCACAGCTGAAAACTCTTGAGATTCATAAGACTCTTGTCCGAAACCTCTCTCTTTGCTTTTCTTTTTTCTATCCTTAGCAGCCCCCAGCCTGCTACACCTGAATGTAAATCTCTCCTTAAACAACTTTTCTTTCCTTTCTTTTTGTAGGCTAAAGACCTGGAAGAGGTCAGAGAAGGGCCCCAAACCCTCAGGAATAGTGGAGAAACAGCCCATTTCTGTATTACAGAGGGTAGCTTTGTGATCACAGAAATGATTAGTTTTAACCCTTTAAAGTACTAAGTACTCTTCTAATGAATGAAATCTATGTTTTACTGTACACTTACTGCCTCCCCATTTCAAGTCATCAGCCACATCCCAGATTCTCTGTTGTTCCATTTCCTTCAGTTTGCTTCATCTTCACGGTAAATTCCTCCCACATGATTTGCTCATCTTCACTTGGTGTCAGGCTTCTCACTGATTGAGAGATTCCTAATAAAACAATATTTGACCAATGCAATTCCATTTCTGTAGCAGTAACTCCTATTTTCACTCATTTTGCATCTTCCTTCTGTTCTTACTCATCCCAACTTAGATCTTCTCCTCAAGTCTCCTCCATTTCAGTAATGCCTCACTACTTTACTGTCATAAATACTAGAGAAGGGACCAAATCCAAGTCAGTCTGTCTCCTGTGTTTGATTTTCTTCCATTCTTGTTTCAGGGACTGAATAAGAAGATGGATATGAGGCTGGCATCATGAAAATCCTTCAGTAACCTAGGATAATGGAAACTGAAAACATCTTGACTCCCCTCATTCCTGTATTTAAAACACAAATAAACTAATCAGCATCCACGCTTTGCTTCTTCTTCTGGGTTTTTGTATCTCTTGACTTTGAGGGCACTAAATTCTGCATTTACGGCACAGAAGTATAGCCTGAAATACTTGTACCTTGGCTGCACATGTACAGCACATATACATTCCCATGGAAAGTTAGGGGGCAACTAGGTAGTGCAATGGCCTCAGACACTTACCATCTGTGTGCCCCTGGGCAAAAGAGGTAACCCCTATCTGCCTCACTTCCTCATCTGTAAAGTGAGGACACACTGGAGAAGGAAATGGCAAACCACTCTAGCATCTTTGCCAAAATATACTCCAGGAAAAAAAGTCCATGGGGCCACATGGAGTCAGACACAACTGAATAACTGAATGACAACAACATGGAAAGTAGTGGGATAAAAGTTTGACTCTTGGTGTTTGCCACTTACTTGATATCTGACCTTGGGCAAGTTACTTAACCTCTCTATCCCCATCTATTCCAGCCATCTTGGGATTTGGAGAGATGTTCACAAGAGGCAAGCAGGCCAGTAAATGGTTAAAGCAGTAGATCTTTATTAGGTATCCAAAACAATTCACTCAATGGAAGGCCAAAGGCCTAACATGAAGGACCCAGGGAGAAGGGCAAGAAGAGAATGGGGCAATGGAAGAGGCTTTCAGGATAAAAGAAATGCCCTGGGGATTGGTTGACAGAATGGGTCAAACACAACCATGTGTCAGTCACCAGAATGGACATCGTCGGGTCTGGTGTGTAATGGTCTTCAGGCCACAGCAAGAAGTAGGAGTGCATTATTCAATAATGATCCTGTGGGAGGTTGAGCCTTAGATTTGGCAGGCCCAGATTCCACCTAGCTCTTGTTACTTCTCTTAGTTGATGTGGAGGAAGCCTTGCACCTTTGTCACCTCCACACAAGCACAGCTCAAATGCACAGACCAAGGCCATGGGTTTGATAGGAAGGAAATAGATGTTTGATCCTTCCTCATAGGTTCCGAACTGTTTTCTCTTCTCTAATGTCACAGGCACAAAGATGCTAAGCATTGGCTGGCAAAGCCTCTTATGTGCAAGCAGAGTTCTTGTAAGTGTAAGAGGGAAAGCTTTCAGTCACTTTCCCTTTCCCCTATCTTTGTGAGAGTGCAGTTCTCTCATACTCACTCCAGGAAACTTTCTTGAAGCAGGACTTCCTCCCTGGTTTTACCCTTGGTCACCTCCCTATGAAAGGAGTGGTTTCCCTTCCATCCAGTCATCTGTCAAAGAGATTAATGGCAGATGCTGCCAGACAGCTGGTATCCATGTGATTTCTGATTCCCACATAGCACAAGGCTTGGCACATAGTAGGCACTTAATAAGTGTTTATTGATTAGTTGATTTGGATGCCCAGAGATATCTTGGTAAAAGTATTTTGTCTGGGATGCTTTTTAAATCAAGTTCTCCTTTCTCTCTTTGAATGGAAACCCCCAACCCATTTACGTTTGATATGAACCCCATTTGATATGGGGTTTCTGCCAACCACTCCTTTAATGTTGCATCTAAGCACTAATACACACAGTTTAGTAGTCAACCATGATTTTAATGACATAAAGATTAAAACAGATAAAAAAAAGCTCTCCAAAGACCCACAATTTTTACAGCCAATGAAAGAAACAGCAAAGCTACTCTCTCTTCCAATGATTTGCGAAAAGTGAAGGAAGAGAAGAGAGGAGCTGGCACTCTGAACTGGAATAAGACCCTTAATGGATAAATATCTATCATATTAACTCTGGATCACCACCCATTGGACCATCCTGGTCCTTACTGAGCTCCGCATATGCCCACTGGCTCCTGTTCCCCTCTCTCCTCCATCACAAGGTTGAAAGATTCTCTTCTTTCTTTCTTTTTCTAAATGGTTCCTCAGGGATTACTGTTGCTACCATCGCTTGCTGTTTTCTTGCCCTTGGCAGTGCCATCCTTCTAAAATCAACATTCTTCCCTTCGTCTTCCCCACAGTGATGACAGATCCAAAGCAGTGGCAGAAGCAAGTGCTTATGCCCAATCCATTGTCCCCAAAATCACTAGTGTAGGAAAAGGGCATTACAGTATTCTATGGGACCAGAAATATTGCAGTCCCTTGGAAAAACCTGAAGTATGTTTGATATCTGCAAGACACATCACAATCACAAACAAAAACCAGCCTTTAAAAAAATAAGGATAGTTGTATTATCCCATGTCAGCGTCACATCAGCAATATATATAGTCAACAAAGCAAAATATACATCCCTTGACAATGTATTTCATTAAGTAAATATCTGAATTCAAGCAGTACATATTATGTGTACATATAACAAGAATATATTAATATCCACGGTTCACAGGAAATAAGAATAAATAAACAAGCACCATATCAGTAGACCTACATAATAACAAAGCATGACACCTTATAGTCCAAAAAAAGTAGCAAAATTCATCATAGCTACAGCATACACATGATATAAGTATATAAGCAAATAAACATGAACAAAAAATAGTAAAACAGAAACATCCTCAAAACATGCAGCAAATAGCATGTGTACTAACGTACATACTTAATTACATGCAAGGCAAAATTACATGAGTAGGTATTAGTATTGTGGTCAGTCTACACATGTCAAATCTCTAGTCTCTTGTACAACATCCTAAGTAACACTTTCTAGCTCCAACAGAATGTTGTGTGACTTGCTGTGCAGTCTGCCCCTATGCCTGAGCTAGTTGATAATAACTAGTCATCCTCCTCCTCTAATGTGTAGTCCTGAATTCCTAAGCCTGAATTTGTATAGGGATCAGTATTATTGGGCTGGACTCTAGTAGGCTCTAAAGCAGAATTCTAGGCGAGAAAGGTACTGTCTTTGAATTCAGTTCTATTTATTTGTTTAAACAGATTGGTCTTAGGTTATAAGGCATAGAATCTTCATCACTTGAAATAACACTTTTTGATCTATTGTCAGGTTCACATTGTCTATGTACAACTAATAGATGAGAACTTTTACTCTGTCTTTTTATAGACTGCCCATCACTTTGGTTCTTCTGCTCATCAGTCTTTGTCTATAGGCATATAACCGATCATAGTGAATAGTCTTTACAAGGCTCCTACCAATTGCTAGGGTAATTCTGTAAATAGATAAGTTACCCAGTTCCCCCACAATTAGGTTTTGAGAAGCTTTCCAGCAATCTGGCATTATTATGACTGTTGTTGTTATTATTATTATCATTATTATTTGCATCCTATAAACACCAAAAACAAAAACAAAAACAACTCTCCTTTGAAGGTCTTAACAAAGAACTCAAGCACTTCCAGTCACATGACTAACAAGATGAAGGACAAACTATTTTTCCCAGTCTTCTTGAACTCTTAAAACTCCAATAAATAGGAATTATGCACAAGAGATAAAATAATTGCAGCTGTCTCTGCAAACCAAAATGCCAGGAAGATTTTCAGGGTAATAAGGTGATGAAGTATGAGCAGAGAAGTCTTATCCCTAATGCATAATGTGCTCACTTGGCACCTCATTTCCTAGTGGCCCCCATACTATGGCACCTGACCCACCAGCTTGTGCTCAGGTATTTGCTGGATGCAGTCTTTGCCAGCACACCCTACCTCTGACCTCCCTCCACCATTCTTAAGCAAAAGCAGGAAAACTCAACTTGTAGATGAAGAAGAATTATAGGAAAGCAGAAACATGTTCTATCTAGGGTTGCAGGAGTACTCAGCCAGAGAATTAAATAAGAAGACCTGTAGCAGAGTGCCAGAATATATATGAAAGGCAATGGTTGCAGACCTAAAAAAGAAGGATTGACACTAACCTAGGTCTAATTGTGGCCCCCCTATAAGTCACTTGGATCAGGGATGGAGGCAAATGAAAAGTGAATTCCCCAGTGTGGAAGACTGAAATAGCTTTAATGTTCAACCCCAGACGATCCACCATCAAAAGGGAAGGACTGAGAAAGTGAAGTACAAAAGAATATAAGAAAAAATACTGAAATTACCAATAGTCTCATGAGGAAGAAAATCCAGTTAAAGAATTTGGTTAAAAGCCTATAGCACAAGAATATAAATCAATAGGAAAGTCATTAAAGTAGAAGGGAAGATAGCCACCAAGACATCTAAATGATTCCAAACATCTTTGAAGAATTAGTGCATTAACAAAGGAAATTTAACCAATACCTGATAAAGCTGATGGCTTTATGGATTCTTAAGAAGGCATGAAATCATTGCAGAATTTTCCTAAATAGTTCAACACAGAAGTAAGTACCTTGAAAGTAGAAATTAAAAAGGAATGAATGGCAGAATTCATGTCTGGTGCAGCAGATCTTTACCACAAAAGTGCTATGACTATATTGGTATACATAGGATCTTTATTTTTTCTTTAAACTCCTTGAGGTACATACCATGAGATTTCTAAGTCAAAGAGTGTGAAGTTTAGTCATTTTTCTCAAATACTTTCAAATTGCTTTCCAGATTGTTTTCACAGTTCCATTAATAGCATTTACCTGCTTTACCACAAATCCTATAGATTTTATTTCTTAGGCAAAAGGAAACCACTGAAAGACTTTGATTAGACACACTTGGAGCTGAGGAAGATTAGTTTGGCAAATGTGTGAGAGACAGATTAGAAAAGAGATAAAGAGATGGTTATGAATAAGGGCCTATAAATTGGTGGTGACATCACTAATGTAAAAGAGATAAAATCAAGGACTACTCAGGATGTAGAATTAATAGGAACTAGGTAGTGATTAGATACAGAAAGTGGGGGATAAAAGAAAGGAAGATAAACACTACCAATATTTCAAATATGGGAGATAGTTTGGAAGGTTTTAAATGAATTCAATTGGAAGCACAAATGGTAAATCCAGGTAACCCATGATCAAATGGAGGCTAAGGTCCTGGGACAGGTCACGGAGGAAGATATAGATTTTGAAGTACCTTTCCAGAGGAGAGGGTGAAATGTGGGTGAGCTTTTTGAGGAAAAGGATGTAGAATGAAAATGGAAGAGGCCTAAGGAAATACC